ATATATATATATATATATATATATATATATATATATATATAATTTATACCAATATTCTAAAATTGATAATAAAGACTAATCCATACTTCAAAAATAAGAATCAAACCTAGAAACATCATATACAAATTATTTATTATCTCAACTCATCTGAAATATTTTACATTATTATAATGAGTATAGTATCAAGAGGCTTATAATTTTTTAAGTGAAAAAACCTTAATACTTAAATATTGCATTGAGTTTCACATGAAATGTTTGCAATTTTGCAGGTATATTTTGCGCAGAGGTAGTTCCGGATTATACATATACGCTATATTTGAACGTCCCCAGCATTTTCCAGCTCTGGAGATTGATCACATAAGGATCGTTTTCAAGTTGAAAAAGGACAGGTAAACAAATAGCATTCCCATGCACAAATACAATGACAAGTGTTTTTAATAATTTTAATTTACCCTAATCATGAAATCTTCATGCACATTTTGTTGGGAGAGAATGCTCTCCAACAAAACTCACCTCCAAAGAAATTAATATCCAATTATCGATCAGTGCAAACTAGAATAAACAGAATCTTAAATGCGTAAATGAAACATGTAAATAATAATAAAGTTATTTTATAGTATTTATTTGAAAGAATATTTTATAAAGATTACTTTTGTTTTTGTCATCATCCAAAAAAAATTTCAATTAAAGTGTGTGTATATTTTATAAATTAATTTTTTTTCTTATTTTATCGATGCAATATTTATTTATACAGGTTCCCCTATATGGCTATAGCAGATGATATGCAATGAGCCATGCCAACGCCTGAAGATAGAACTACGGGGAAACGCCTTGATTATGATGAAGCTGTTCTAATAACCAACCCTAGTAACCCACAGCTTCAAGGAGAGGTACCTATTTTTCTTTTCTTCAATTTTCATCACATGTTTAGTGCTTGATTCTCTCTCTCTATACGTTTGGAAAAGTTACATCTAGGAAATGATAATTTTTTAAAAAAACCATTTCATGAAAATATATAATATCGTATTTTATTACACTTGTTTTTTTTTTTTTTCGCTTTATTTTTTTAAACACGGGCAGAGTTGGTTAATGGTTGGATTGGGCTTTGTTCAGGTTGATGACAAATACCAATACTCATGTGAGAACAAAGACAATAAGCTTCATGGGTGGATTAACATGGACTCAAGGTCCAATGAATCTGTGGGCTTCTGGATGATAACACCAAGTAACGAGTTCCGTAGTGGTGGCCCAATTAAGCAAGGCCTCACTTCTCATGTTGGCCCTACAACCCTCAATGTAAGTCCATGACTTCTTCACATCCATATCTTGCCTAAACAAAGAATAATAATTATTGATATGAAATATACAATGTTGGGTTTATTTCTGCTTATTTCTAAAAAATAATAAATAAAAAATTATTTGTGTTAATTTCTTGGGAGAATTTATTAAGTAACATTATCTAATTTGGTCATGATTTTATCTATGTCTAGATACTTCATACCACTCACTACGCGGGGAAGGAGGTAACCATGGCATTCAAAGAAGGGGAACCCTTCAAGAAAGTTTATGGCCCCGTTTTTGCTTATCTAAACTCAGTTTCAAGTGGCCATGATTCACAAGCCCTATGGAGTGATGCTATACAACAGGTGCTACAACTAACAACCTTAAATATACCATTAAAAGTGTGTTTGTTAAAATTTAATTTGACTCATTTTGTTTTCTTTGCTGAATTTGCATCACTTAATTAGATGTCCGAGGAAATTAAAAGTTGGCCCTATGATTTCCCAAAATCAGATGAGTTTTTCCCAGCCAATAAACGGGGAAGAGTGGAAGGACAATTACTAGTCCAAGACAGGTACATATTCATGCATTTCCTCTTGTTTATTTTGAAAATTATATTTATGATACAAAGGAACTAATGTTCCTTGCTTTTACCACCAGATACATTAAAGGAGGGAAATTTGTATATGGCCACAATGCTTATGTTGGTTTGGCTCTGCCTGGAAATGAGGGATCATGGCAAAGGCAAAGCAAGGTATTTCTTCTTATGAAATTTAGTTTCCAATATGTTCCAATCCCAATGACACTAATGAATAATCTATAATCTATAATCTATAATAATTAATAAAGAAGATACAATGTTTTAATCATTATATATGTTTTTCTTTCTCTCTTTTACTCCTCAACTAATCCACCAAGTTATCCATTATTATAAAATTAACTGTATACCTTCTCATTTCACCATCTCTTCTTTATTATCATTTTTTTTTTGAAACAATAGCGAGATATGAGCGTCTCATTTTCTCTAGTAATAATGAAAAAAGACCCTAGTCAATGAGACACTAATAATAACATGATAATACCACTTTTTTCAGGGTTACCAATTCTGGAGTGGAGCTGACAAAGTGGGTCACTTCACAATTGAAAATGTTGTACCAGGAGACTACGATTTATATGCATGGATTCCAGGAATTTTTGGGGACTATAAATATAACACTACTATAACCATCACACCAGGTGCACATTTTGTCATGAAAGAATTCTAGTCATTCTCAAAAATTCTTAATCCTCATTCACACGTTTCTTCTTTTTGTAGGATGTGTTATCCAATTGGGTTCACTAATATACAATCCTCCAAGAAATGGACCTACCATATGGGAAATTGGCATCCCAGATCGCTCTGCTGCAGAGTTCTATGTTCCAGACCCTTATCCCAACCTCATGAACCCATTATACATTGGAAAACCAAGACACAAGTTAGTCCAAAACTCAATCAATAATAATTATCAGTTTTAATATGTCTTTAGTACCTTAAATTTAAGATATTTATCTTTTAGATTTAAAATTATTCTTTTAATCCTTCAATTTATAAATAACATATTTAAAGATAATAAATCGGAACATTGTTAACATATCCACATTGACAGGTTTAGACAATATGGATTATGGCAGCGTTATTCTGAGTTATACCCAAATAAGGACCTCGTTTACAACGTTGCTGTGAATGATTATAGTAAAGATTGGTTAGATCCAATTCAAATATTAGGTGAGTCTATTGACTAGAGGATGCTTAAAAAAACCCAAGAGACATTGCAGCACAAAGTGGCCCATTTGCTAGAGACCCAACAATCAACTTAACACATGGAGGAGGCTAGACTTATTACATGCATAGCTTGCTTGGAGAGCTAGGAGGCCAACTAAATCCTGCTACATTTCAGGATTTGATCCCAAGACCTTAAGCTTATAATGTCTTCATCAAACCACTTGGGCATATTAGCTTCTATTGGGATATTAATATTTTAATTTTTCTTTATTTACTTCCAAATGAAGCAAACTCAAACTAAAGTTGTATTAAACATATTGGGAATTGAGAAAAGGGACAAATTATTCAGATTACATTTTTTTTGTGAGTTTTAGTTCTGCTAAGGTTCTTCCTTGCATCAACTGATCTTATCAAGAATTCTCCAATTCTTGTGGCGATCTTTCTTGGCTTATCAAATAATTGTATTTGTGGCGCCTTACTTATAATTAATTGTTTCACATCATTTGGTATTCAGAGCCAGGTTCTGGGGGGTACTGTTCACGTGCACTGTTCACGCGCATTATTCCTAGTACTGTTCATTGTACTGTTCATCGGTATTGTTCACGGTACTGTTCAAATTTCTATGAATGTTTACAAGAAAGAATAGATTTATAAAAAAGTGAATTTCTATACAAATGTATCTATGTAAAATTAGCATCCCAGTCTTTCTTGTGCTTTGAAACTTCTTATATAGTAACTCGGAGAAGATGATCGTTACAATATTTTGAGTCTATCTCACAAGTTTTCTCTATTTGTCTTTGTCGTCTTTCTTTATGATGACAAGTGACCATTTAACTCATTTAATGTGAGCATTAAATATATTTCATCAAATGGTACCTCTTATCTGATCAAGAAGGCTACTTATCAACTTTTCATACTAAACGGAGCTTGTAGAAGCAATGTTAGCGTAGAACAGTTATAGTAGTGACTTTATCTACTTTTCTCCATTATTTCAGGGATTTGGTTCTGACGAAAGACATGGTTCTTCTCTTTAATAGATTTGTGAGTTTTGAGATGGATTTTTGATTCGATCTATTAAGAAATGAAGCATTCAAAGTAGACTTTGTCGTTAGTCTCAATGAATGATAAATATTTAATGTATATGAAACAAGCTATTTGCTTCTTTGACTTACAATGTCTTACAGATGATCTACATCTTAAACTTCATCTGATAAACTTTTCAAAGACATTTTCACAGACATTTCTCCTATATAAAAATGTTTTGTTCGTTAGTGTGACACCCTCTACCCCAACATACATATACAATAATTATAAAAAAAACATTCTCAAAGTAAATAATTTTTTTTTGAATTAAAACAATGGTTTCGCTAACATAAGAGTAAAGAATTCACATCCGTAAATGTAAATCATGGTCAAATGCGAAATTTACAAGAAAATGAAACATGGGTTTTTCCAAAACAAAATAATAATAATGAAATCCTAAACTAAGCCTAGCTATATGCCCCGATGTCATATATCCTATTAAAGCACGCCCAATTAAAGCCTATGCCTCATCACCAACATCCTCATGTTGATGATCACCTGCAACACAATTTAAACACATACAAAGAGTAAAAGGGGACTGAGAAACATCTCACTCAAGTTCAAGTGCATAAATAAATGTTAGACAACACACACAACAAACATAATACAAGTCACAAGCACAAATCACATATAAACAATACACATACACAATTAATATCACATACACATTCATTTATCATGCAATGATGTCATGGACTCGACTCATAAATGCATGCATGTGGTGCCAGTCACATATCTCATAACATATCACGTGGTATGTTGTTGGAGCAACATACCTGGAGTAGTCTAGGAGTACATGCTAACTCAACTGCGCACTCTCAACTAGAAGAGCATACTGCTAGGGTCTCATCGGGATAGCAAAATTGCGCAAGATACGTTCCATGCACACAAATGGGCAGAATTAGGCCTTCCAAACCACGTTATCCCCTAGGACTCCTCCAAGATGTTTTACACTTGGAGGGCCTTTCCTAATGTTATACTCCATATCGTACCCCGTCACATAAATACATATGATGCATGTCAATCAAGACTCTATGCATTCATATGATTCAACATTTAAAAGTTTCATAAAAACTCAATTAATAAAGGTTTTCCTCAAAGAAACCATGCGCCCAGCGCAACTAAAATTGGGATCCTATCAGGCTTTGCCTGCTCAGCACGTCACCATGTGCGCTCAGCCCATGACTATATGTGCTTAGCGCATAGACTCGTGCGCTCAACGCACTTGAGACAGAGAGCCACTGGAAACAGCCCGCTCAGCGCGTAGACCCGTGCACTTAGCCCATTTCAAAATGCGCTCAGCCCATGGATAAATGCGCTCAGCGCGCTCTAGACAGAAAGCTCTATTCTTCAATGCGCTCAGTCGTTGTCGCGTTCGCTCAGCGCACATGCATTAGACAGCGCGTCAGAAGTTCGAAAACTCCGATTTTCAACCCCAAAATCCATCCCAAATGAATCCCAAACCAAATTTATACAATACCGAACCATAATAGAGTATAAACACCATCCAAAAACAACATATTAAGTGATAAAAACAAGTATTAACCATTAATCCATGAAAATCGTAGGAAATCATGAAGAACCCTAACCAAACCATCTTCAGCTCAATCCAGCCTCAATCATGCGTAAAACATGGAATCAATGTGATATTTCAACTCCATATATACTAGATTAAGTCTTATAAGTACTACCCTTACCTTAGAAACTTTAGAAATGCAAGATTTGAACAAAACCCTCAAATCCCAATTCAAACTTCAATCTCACTTTTCAAGCTTCTAGAGGCTAAATCTCTTAATACTCTAGTTGTGAAGATTGATCCTGGCTTGATAAGCTTCCCAAATGTGTCCTCAACTTCCCTCCGAACCAGAGCCCCTCTCTCTACTTTCTCTCTCTAAAAATGTCCTTGTCTGACAAATGAGACCCTCCGGTCCTAAGTCCCTATATATAGTCATTTTTCGAAATTTCTAAATTTCACCCTTAGCACCTATTTACCTCAAATATCCTATTCCTTGAAGTATTTCAACACCCTAAGCTCTAAAACAACCTCAAATTCACTCAGAAAGACCAGATTTATCTTATGTTCATATCCTTCAATCTCCTATCTATCCTATTCTTTTCCATGCAATACTCACAACTCACCACAATATGAAATGCAACATGTATCAACACACAAACAAACATCACTTTCAGATACATATGCTTGGAATAATGAGTTGCATGCCATAATACTTCACTTAACCAAGATGAGAAGGAAGGTGATCAGTCTTCTTCCCTCTTAGTACCAATTCAATATAATGGTGTACAATGCATCATTCACCAAATTCATGCACACACATGCCTATATAAACCTCTCAAAACATCAACCTCTCATCTCATACTATAAAATCACTACCATGCTTAAACAACTAATCAAAACCACATCAACATACAACATGCATAGAGGTAAGTACATTTCAAATCCACATCTCCATAATCCAATCCAAATCCATATAAACAACATATACATACATGCATACATACCTTTATATATATATAAAGTATATCTACCAAATAGCTCGGTATTTCCATGGTGTTACAAGTGGTACATCTTTGAGTGCAAACACGTGAGAAGAGTGGTGAGGTCATATTACTTCACATTCTTTTGTTTTCGATTTTTTTTTAGTTGAACTATGGCAGGAGCAGCTGGTGGTGGTCCTCATTTAGAAGGAGCTCAAAGATTATTACTTGAAGCTATGATTGCACAAATGCAAAGATTGATGACACAAAATAATCAAGAGCTCTATGAGAGGATTGAAGGAATTGAAAATCAACTAAATCAAGATGTCAGAGGTCCTAACAGAAATAGGGGAGGTAGAGGTCGTAATGGAGGTCCTAGACAAAACAGACTTGAAGGAGTGAAGTTGAATGTTCCCCCATTCAAAGGTAGGAGTGATCCAGATGCCTATCTAGAGTGGGAGATGAAGATTGAACATGTGTTTTCATGCAATGACTATACTGAAGAACAAAAGGTCAAATTAGCAGCAGCTAAATTCTCAAACTATGCCCTCATTTGGTGGAACAAATATCAAAAGGAAATGCAAAGAGATGAGGAACGCAAAATAGATACATGGGCTGAAATGAGGAGAGTCATGAGGAAGAGATATGTGCCAACTAGTTATAGTAGAACTTTGTGTTTAAAACTTCAAAAATTAACTCAAGGTAGCATGACTGTTGAAGAATACTATAAGGAGATGGAGATAGCATTGATGAGAGCCTATATAGAGGAAGAAAATGAAGCAACAATGGTTCGTTTTCTGAATGGCCTAAACACTAATATTAGGGATGTTGTGGAATTGCAAGAATACGTGGAGATGGAAGATTTGTTGCACAAGGCTATACAGGTTGAACAACAGCTCAAGAGGAAAGGTATAACAAGGAAGAATTCTTCCAGTTCTTATAATCCAAACTGGAGGGATAGATCTAAGCAAGAAGGAGGAAATTTATCTAGTTCAGCAGTGACTCCTCCACAAGGGAAATCACCAACAAAGTCAAATGCATCTATTTTTCCCACTAGAACTAGAAACATCAATTGCTTCAAATGCTTGGGAAGAGGACATATTGCTTATGAATGCCCAACCAGGAGGATTATGATCATGAAGGAGGATGGGCAAATCACTAGTGAATCTGAACCTGGTGAAGAAGAAGTGGAGAAAGAGTTAGAAGAGGAAGCATTACAAGGTGATATACTAATGGTAAGGAGGTTGTTGGGAAGTCAGATACAACCACTTGAGCAAACCCAAAGAGAAAATATTTTCCACACTAGATGTTCCATCAAAGGTAAATTATGCTCTTTAATAGTTGATGGTGGAAGTTGTACTAATGTGGCTAGTTCCAGATTAGTATCTAAATTAAATTTGGGAACCAAACCACATCCTAGGCCATACAAACTTCAATGGCTTAGTGAAGATGGAGAGATGAAAGTAACTCAGCAGGTTGAGGTGTGCTTCTCAATTGGAAGGTATAATGATAAGGTGTTGTGTGATGTGGTTCCAATGGAGGCAACTCATCTCCTCCTAGGGAGGCCATGGCAGTATGACACAAAAGCACTACATGATGGATTCACCAACAAGATTTCTTTCATGCACAATGACCAGAAAATTATTCTCAAACCATTATCTCCCAGAGATGTGTGCGAGGATCAAATAAAAATTAGAGAAAAAATAATGCAAGAGAAAAGAGAGAAGAGTGAAAAACATATAAAAAGTAGAAAGAAGAAGAGTGAAACACTTGAGAGAAAAATGAGTTGTTTAGCAAAAGAGAGTGAGGTGAAAAAGATGGTTCTTGCTCACAAACCACTTTACTTGATGTACTGCAAAAATAATATTTTTGTTGCTGACAATTCAAATAAAATTGCTATTCCTCCTAGTGTTGAATTTATTTTGCAGGAATATAAAGATGTGTTTCCGAA